ACAGGAAGTAAGAAGAATATCAGACCTAGGCTCGAGTCACAAGAAACTCTACTCTTCAAAATCTTGCATCAACACTTTCATCATCTTTCAATTTGAAAAAAATATTATCTCAGGAGTACTGAGGAGTACCACGTATACAATTGTCCCACCAGAATACCACGTGACACCTCCTCTTTGGAGTGAGGTAATATTTTTTCTTCAATTTGACATCAACATTATTAAGGGCATGTCTGGCCAACTCTGCCATCCTCCCTACCTTTCGTCCAGGCCACCTCACAGGATTCCGGTGGATCAGCAGCTACCACAAAAACCGACCTCCAGCATTACTTTTCTATCGCGAATGGGATGCGACGCCGCCGGTTGATTTCTCGCCGGTCGTCCGCCTCTGCGCCGGCCAAACTAGGCATTAAGCTCCCGCCGCACGCAGATCCGACCTGCCAGTCAATATACGCCGATCAGCTGCCCCTACTCTGGCCGGCCACTAACAGTCATCCACCACAAAAAACGAGCGGTCGTCCGGCTAACTCGCCGGCTGGCCATTTTCCGCTCTTGCTGATCCGCCGGTCGGACGCCACCTTGCCGGCCGTCCTAGTTGCGCTGACCGTCATCAACCGGCCACCAAGCCGCCTCGACCAACCGGCCATCTGCCGACCACCTGAAAGCTGGGAGAAGAAGGACGAGAGCTGCCATTCGGAGCAATAAAATAAAATAAAAAAAAGGGCTTTCCCACCTCAAGTCTCTGTACCTCTGTAAAATGCCAAAGGTAAAGCGGGATGATAATATTCTCGGTGGGAATGACAAGGTTTGTCTGTTTCTGTTGCTGGAGGTTCTACGTATGGAGGAATTTCAGGAGTTGCCTCCTGAGCTCAAGAAAATGAAGATTCAAAACATTGGACAGAAAGCTTTGAACTACAAACAAGATCTAAGAATTGAAGCACGGAGAAATTTAAGAATTTAAAGTTGCCCCAATCCGATTTCTCTCGGTGGACTGCAACAAGTGGAGAGTGACACAGAAATTCCAGCTCATTTTTATTGTTAGCTCATCCCCTCGTTAGCTTAGCCTTATATCACTCAAATCCCTCAGGACTATCAGATATTTTGCGACGGTGGAAACGGCAGCCTTAGATCCACCGGAGATGCCAACAGAATGGTAGTACTATCACGGCCGCGGAGCTCCTCGGGCACCACTGCAAACGAGAATGCTTCGAAGTACGAACTTCTTTTTTGCTCGGAAAAATCGCCGCACTTTGCCTCCATCGACCAGTCAGCTACCGACCTTCCTCCGACCGAGGTCACCGACCCTCGTTCATCCGCTTCCGTTTGGTCGTTGACCAACGGCCGATCATCTTCCAAAAACAGAAACACAACACTCAATTCTTATATATTTTTATATTTACATACATACCACTTAATTTTTATAAATTATATATTCACATTCTTCATTTATATTAATGCATCCATAGCCACTTGTCCATCGGCCGATCACTTGATTATGGCCGACCACTCTGCTCCAATCTGAAACCATGGAGAAAGGTATCCTCATATATCTCACTTTTTGCGTGCAACGAACATACAAGATCTACAAATCTGTGGTTTTATTCTATCCAAACTAAACGTTGGGTTAGGTCAAATCCATGATGTACTCCAAATCTATTCAATTATCTTGCGTTAGAAGCACCCATCTTTCAACATCAGATATTTAATGATAGAGTGATCTGTATGCATTATACATTTAGTTCCAATAAGATAAGACTTAAATTTGTAATATTGCTAATAACTCTTTTTCTGGAGTAATATAATAAATTTGAGCTTTATTAAGAGTTTTACTTGCATAATATATTAATTTAAAAATTTTATGATATTTTAGTCTCAAAACAACCACAATAGCATAATCACTCACATCACAAATCAACTCAAATGGTTTTCCCCAATCAGGTGAAACAATAATAGGAGCGATGATTAGTTTATTTTTTAATAACTCGAAGGCATTTAGGCACTCTTGATTAAAATCAAATAAGACGTCTTTTTCTAAAAGTTGGCATAGAGGCACAGTAATTTTTGAAAAATCTTTAATCCTTTGACGCCTATTTTGGATAAATTTAAAAGTAATATTCATGCGCATGCCTTTGTCTTTATATATCTAACTCATAGATTTTATCATTTTATTTGTTGGCCAACCACTTCACCGTCCGACTGTCCCATCATCACTCGGTCTCGCCATCCTGTCACAATAAAAAGAAACATGAAAGATTTATATATATACATACACTCAATTTTTTATCTTTATATTTTTTATATGTTTATATTTTTATATTGCTTAACTTGTTTTGCCGACAACCTATGTCCAGCCGACCACTGCTCCGATAGTCTCCGGCAGACCACCTACCTCCGACCGATCATCTCAACTTCAGGGAAGATTTATATACATGCCACTCAACTCTTATATGCTTATATGTTTACATATTGACCACTCAATTTATACATAGATTTATACACAGATTTACACACAACTCAATTTATATACAGATTTACATACTTACATCTCCATTCACATGTAGATTTACGTACTTACCGCTCAATTTATATAGAGGCTACCCTCCCGTTAGTGACATTCCTCGGCCGACCATTGCTCTGGTTGTCTCTGAACGACTACCAACTTTTAGTCGGCCATCTGTCTCCAATTGATTGTTTCTAATTGGATAAGATTTACACACATTCCCAATTCTTTAGTCTCTATGTATCTTAAAACCTAAAATTTAGTTTTATTAGATCGGTCAACCTCTTCGCTGGCTGGCTATCTCTGCCTCAACTAACCAACCAACGGTCGGCCACCTGAAGAGAAAAATAGAATAAAATAAAAAGAAGATTTACATGCATACCACTGACCTCCTGTTTCGAATATATAAATACGTATACTAATATACGTGAAATGTATGAACAAATACGTACATGTCACTAACTAATGAAGATTTTATGGCTATAAGAGAGTTCCAAATGGAACTTTTTTATATCGAATGTTTTAACTGAATATCGCAAATATTCTTTACATGCACAGATTTAAAACTATTTTGTTTTACTTATCTGAAAATCTATTTTGCACAATTTTGAAGAGACATCAGCACACTAAGGACCTGCTTCTCTGCCCTTAAGGTGCAAATTAGTTTATGAATGCTAGAATATCAAGTTAAAATCTCTAGGTTATTAACTGTACCTGTTAGCGGTCTCCAACCCCATATAAGCATGTATCTCCCCCAAAGTTTACTTTATGATACATGTGCTTAATAGTATCTTTTATTTATATATGAAAGATCATGGTCAAGGCATAGCAAGATCAAGGAGTCCATGCATGTCGGTGACCACTTGACACTTGGAAACTCGAACCCGAGTAATAAAACCAACAAGCTCTGCGATGTGCAAAAATTCTAACACCCGGCGGCGACAAGCTCCGTGATAGTGCAAAAATTCTAACACCCGACAATAACAAATTCCTTGAGAGTCGCAAAAAATCTAACACCCGACAACAACAAGCTCTGTGAGTGGTGCAAAAAATTTAACACCTGCATGCGACAAGCTCCGTGAAAGGTGTAAAAAATTCTAGCACTCGACGACGACAAGCTTCGTGAGGGGTGAGTGACAAGCTCCGCGAGGGGTGCAAAAAAGCCGCAAGCTCTGCGAGCGGTGCAAAAAAGCCGCAAGCTCCGCGAGCGGTGCAAACAAAATCTAACACTCGACGGCGACAAGCTCCGCGAGTTGTGTAAAAAAATCTGACACTCGACAACGACAAGCTCTTGGATTCCACTCCTGGGCGAACAACTCCAGGACTCCGGCAGAAGACATTTACCTCCGAACGGAGGACTCTAACAGAGGATTTTTCACTCAAAAGAAGGATTTTTCCCTTCAAATGGCCGCCAGAATCCGACAACTCCGCTGATAGAAAATTACAGAAGGATAAGTTCAGCAGTGAATGACAATAAAGCTACCAAAACCAAGCAGAACAAGTGTCTGACAGGCGGTATCATTAGTAAACTATGTGTTCAAGATTTATTTCGTTTATAAATTTCAGTGTCCTTGTTGCATTTTCGCTATCAAGGAGCAAAAAAAATTGATAAACTTAATATGTATACTCAAAAATGATTTGCACGAATCTCGAGGCTATCTGCAGTCAGCCTCTGTCGAATTAGCTACCCTCGGACGACCTCTCCCTCCGATAGAGGAATTTTTCCTCATATTAGAGGATGTCGACGGAGGACTTTTCCTACCAAACTAAGGATACTGATGGAGAACTTTTCCCACCGAACGACCACCAATACAAAAGGCTAAAATATCATGTACTACCCCCCTTAAAGCAATGGTAATATTATAATTTACTTTTTGGCCTTCCTCTCATCTATAAATAGGAGGGCCCTTTCATGTAAAGGGGCTTTTAGGCCCCCTCGCTATTAAGCTCTATTTTTATGGGAATAAGATGGGTACACAAGCTCTGGAATACACTGTTTCGCCCCCGAGGGGGCAAGTCTTCCTCTTCTCGTTCTTTTCTTCTCTCAATCTCTCTCATAATATTCTTCCGTTGGTTTCACGCTCTATTCCTTAGGCACGGTCTACTTGACATATTTGGAGTCAGCAATAATAACTTTGATTAGAGTCATTTAATATAAAGTGGTTGCATGTTAGTGAGTGTTGGGGTTGTGAATTTGACTTGAAGGTTGAAAATCACTTAAAAATTGGATTGGCCTTTTGCTTGGATCAACTTCAATGTGCCAACTAATAAGACAAGCCATGCTTGAATCTCTAGAAAGGAGTCAAACCTAGATTGAATCAAACTAACTTGTGTTTGAATTGAAATGAATGTGCATATATATATATATA